CCTTGGATGCGTTCTACAGAAGAGCCTCAAACAAGGTGTTCCATGGTTCTCCAACTGAAGCCAGTTCAAGAACAGTTTTGAAATGCTAAAACATGTATCAATTAATAAAACGAGTTTGGACATACTTTTGCAACTTGGCGACAATTTAATATATGTGGGAAATTTGGCCACTGTGGTAGTACATAATTCCATAATATTTCACCGGTTTCATAGAGAGAAACACTATTACTGACTGCATGACTTTTAAGAAACAAATAACAAGGAAATTAAATCATCAGTAGTACTCCCTTACAGAGAAGGAACCTTGGAAACCTTAGGTTGAATTCATTACAATGTAGGAATAAAAGCGACTGGCATTCAAAACAACCACAAACTCAATTAGAAATAAGCCTCTGTCGGTTAAATGATCAATCCTGCGGAAGCAATCAAGGAAAGCAATTCAGTTTATTTAATACCTTGCCCGAAATGACTGTCAGGTCAAATATATAGGTGAAAGCAGTAGAAGGGGGTAAGTTAGACTAGCCGAGCACAAACCCTAGCAAAACATAAATTAGTTAGCCCAAATAAGATAAAACATCTGGAGAATAGTTCAGCGACAGCACTCACTACATGCAATTACACACAACCATACAATGGAATGAATGGGATAAGATGACAGTTTTGAAATATAATATAACAGGGTGGAAAGACAGCATGAAAGCAGAAGCTTTGTTTATCGAATCAACTGCAAACACGTGTAATAGGAATGATTCAACACCTGTCCAGCCAGACATCTGGAAAATTCTACTACCCCAACGACGACAAATAGGAGAGAACAAAGAAAACTACAAAACTCAAGTTTCAAAGTCGTGTGATGACACTTGATATGATTATGAACAATTAATTTTGTTCGAAGGGTCATCCAGTAAATAATACTGTTTCCCTGTGAAATATATATATATAATAAATTATTGTGAAACAATTTATCAAAAGGAATTATAATTAACATAAGTTATTCATGATTTAGGTAGTTAAATTACTAAATGTTGAACGGAGCTGACTATCAGCAGTACAGTTAGATGGGGAAAATAATCCTCACTAAGCAAGATAAAAAGGTGTTATGGAAAACTGATTCGGGACGTTCAAACGACCAGTACACAAAAGTCCTATGAGTTCTCAGTGTTGTTACAGTAGCACTGTCATAAAAAACAGCTGACTCCTTCAGACGTCAGCTACTACAGAAAATGGGCAACATGGGACAACTTATAATTCTTGCTCAGTTGTTTTGCTTCATAACTGAATTTGCGTCTACAGATAAAGGCTGAAACTATTTGAAGTCCAAATATGTGTTAGATTGCGATGGTTTTGTTTTACTGTCTAATGGAGCTAATTTTCCTCTTCACTTTTGTAGCTGAAGAGTGAATTTCATTCGCATTACTACTGAGTTTATACAGCCGAAGTAAAAGGTGTCATATTCTGTTTTCAACATAGTGAAAGTAGTGTCTGCACATCTACATCATAACATTGGGATAACATTAAATGTTTGTTATTACTACTATTATTTTCTTGACTTCGGAGTGGAACATAAGACTTCAACAACACATCTCCACTTTGTTCTGTTTTCTGCCGTCCTCTCCATCTGGGTCCACAATTGACTAAACACTATCATCTCTTCTTCACACGATCCCCTCCATGTCGCCACCTCATCGACCACCCGCTCGTCGTTTCCCATTTGGATTCGACTCGAGGGCCTGGAGTGCGATGTCATTCGGTGGCCTCCTCAATGTATGCTCGGTCCACATCCTCTTTCTCCTATATATTTGTTAAGCGATCGATTCTTGTCCGGTTTGTTCCCAAAGTTTCCTGCTGCTTATTCTTTCTGGCCATGTGATCTTCAGTATGGAGCCAGTCAGGGAAGGCAGCTGTTGATAAAAGTTTGTATCGATTTGGAAATAATTTTCGTGACACGCCGACCAAGTTTCTAACCCGTATAGAATAACCGACTTCACATTGGTGTTGAAAATGAGAATCTTGTTCTATATGCTGAGTGCGGAAGCCTTCCAAACTGGTTCCAGGTTGATGAAGGCGTATGTTACCTTTCGGATTCTAGCCAGATTTGACATCCATTAAAGCTGCATGTGGTTGAAACCGTGCTTTCTAGCCAGATAAGTGAAGGATGTAACTATGTCAAATCTCTGCCATTGATAGCGACTGGTGCTGGTTGTTGTCGCTGTCAGTGGTGGTTGATTATCTTCATGACATCTTTCTTCTCTATGTTTGCCTGCAGTCCTGTTTTCACTGCCTGCCTTTTCTGCCAGTTTGAAGGTTTTCTCCTGCAAGTCTTCGAGTTTGTGTGACATTAAACAGAAATCATCCACATGCGAAATCCAGATCTTCTAGAGTCTTTCATCTAAGGTCTAGCGTGTTCCTGTCTTCTCATTCTCATGCACAGTCTGCTGCATAATCCACCACAATTAAGAATATCCTCGGCGGTAATAGACAGCCGGGTTGTCTTACTCCTGCCTTCACTTCGAATGCCTCGCTTAGTTTCCCGTTGTGGATCATCTGACACGTGGCAATGTCACACAGCTGTTGAATAAGTTTGATACAGATTTGGGCACTGCACGCAGTTGTGTTGAAGTAGTTTCCAAATTACGTCTCGATCAACGCTGTCTGTCGAAGGCCTTTTCGAAGTCGATGAAGTTGAGGTACAGAGAGGTTTGACTGCCATTCTATGTTTTGTTCTGGGAGGAGTTGCAATCTGATCAGCACATGATTTGACTCTGAATCCAGCTTGTTTCGGGAGGAGTTCTGTATCGAGTGCACCCTTTATTATCTCCAGGATGATGCTACTTAGTATCTCACTTGGAGTGGACAAAAGCATTACTCCACGCTAGTTCTTGTACAAGCCTAAGTCGCCCTTCTTTGGCAGTTTGATGAGGTGGCCCTTCTTTCAATCAGTAGGCACCTTTCCTTCTTTCCAAACCTTTTGCAGTAATGAAGTGAGAACATCTGCCGTAATCTCTGGAGCCATATTTTCCTTATTTACCAAAAACATATCAACTAGTGACTGACTGAATGACTGACTTTCGACACAGAACTTTGCGAAACAGTGAAGCTATTCACACTGCCGCATTCCACACAGTGCACAAAGGTAGAGAAAAGATGGGAGGAAGAAATTCAAGCGAACTACAATCAAGAGAAATCTATGGAAAAAAATCCATAGTCAAATGGAGAAACATGAGCATTTAAGAAATGTGGTAGGTCTCAAACAGCGAATGCGTCTGCGCCATCATGAACCGTTTTGAGTCATATTACCAACAGCCCAAAACAATCGGTTCTTCGCATCTTGAAGACTCCTAGAAATACTGTCTATACCATCCTACGTGGCTTAAACCAACAGTTCAAGTCTTCATGGTTGATACCAGGCTTTGTTTTAACCACGTAAAACTCTTTCTCATCCTAATCTCATATCAGCTAACACTGCTTGACCAGAAAGGTGGTGACTGAGCTTGCGCAACACATGTCCTAGTCATCTCAGTAGGTGTAGACTTAGGAACCTGCCAGTTGACTTGCCCTTCTTACCTAATACTCTGCATCTAACCTCAACATTACTCACTATGCTATACTATACTATACTAAACGTGGGAGATAGAACGTGCATTTCTTTAGTCAAAGACAACTGACACTTACCTATCTTATACCTATCACTGATCACATCGCACAGGCATAGAGAAGGATACAGCAAAGTGTTACGCAGTACACTCTGACTATTACCAACATCCGGAAATCACGTAAAAGACGAGGATTACGTGTGCTGACTGTCTGTGCTGAGAATTCGTCAGTGTTCACTCACTCCATTAGGGTTGGTACAACTTCCTAGATAAGAGATGTGGTCAGAATGCTCAACTAATGATGTAGCCATAGGTTCCCCGTTAGGTCCAGTCTTAGCTGATTTTTTCCTCGCTAGGTTAGAGAATGAACCACTGAAAGCAGTAAATAATGAGTTGGGTTTCTACTGTCGATATATGGATGATACATTTCTGGTTATTGAAATCGAGAATGATGCAATGAAGATCCTTGACAGGTTTTATGATGCTCATTCAACAATAAACGATAAAATAGAGAAAGAAAGTAATGAGAGTATCCGATTGTTAAACGTCTTCATGGCACACTAAGAAGGGTGTGTATAGGAAACCTACAACAACAGGTCAGTACACTAATTTTTTGAGTTATGTACCTTTGAAATATAAACGTAACCTGGTAAAGTGTCTAGTTCATGGAGCTAGGTTAATCTGTTCAGACGACTGCCTCAATGGGGAGCTTAAGATTATTAGAGAATTACTTAGAAAAAATGGTTATCCAGATGAGTTCATTAAGAGTTAGTATGGCAACAGTTATAAAAAAACCAATGTTCATAAAACTGCAGTTCCTCAGAGACAACATCAGCGAAATAATAACACAGCGCCTGAAGAATGCAGTTAAAAGAGCATATTATATTTCGATTTGACACTAGTAACTAGTGTGATGCGTCTAGTCCTCTCCTTGGTGCAGACTGAATTCTATCAGTCAGGTTGTAATGTGGCCACCATTCTAGGTAGCTAGCCATCACGGTGTACATAGTTTGTGATGATATTAGGTGGTTGGAGGCAATCGGCCATAGGGGGAAGCCTTGGACCTAGGTTTCGTGCTAGTTGGCACTCACCAGTCAGCAAGGCGTATCTGCAACCTTGAAGGAACTCATGTCCCTTCTGAGATTCGAACCCGCGTCACCCAGTGCTGCAGTCAGAGACGTTACCACTGAGCTATTCGGGCTCGCGATTGACCTCCTGTAGGACTGTAGTAGATATTTCGATTTGACAGTGGTAACGTCTCTGACTGCAGCACTGGGTGACGCGGGTTCGAATCTCAGAAGGGACATGAGTTCCTTCAAGGTTGCAGATACGCCTTGCTGACTGGTGAGTGCCAACTAGCACGAAACCTAGGTCCAAGGCTTCCCCCTATGGCCGATTGCCTCCAACCACCTAATATCATCACAGACCATATTATGCAACAGAGGTACGCTATATCTTCACAACCACCCCTATTCTACTTCCGAGAAATAAGGATAAACTACCTAAATTCGCCTCTTCTATGTGTATCTACCACTTTGACTGCAGCTGCAGGGCCAGCTAAATCGGGCATAAAACTAGGCAGGTTCATCATCGTATTTCCAAACATCATCCAACATGGCTAAGCAAGGGATAAACAAGATCTATTCGTAGCTCTATTTTAGCACACCTTGTAGATATTGAGCATAAGGTTGACGTTAATACTGCATTGAAAATTGCTTATCTCATTCCTACTAACCTTAATTTCGCTTTACGAGTTCGCTTTCTACATACAGCTGAAGCAATAGGAATCTACCTGAAGAAGCCAAACCTGTGTGTTCAGAAGAAATTTGTACAGTCACTTTCCTGACCTTGGCCATCGTTCCATGAATGCATAAACCGGACTACTTTGCTCCCCTCCCCCTAAACCTTTAAAAATTGTAATTGTCCAAATTATTTTATTATTTTTCTGACTACTGCGTCTTTACTTACATGTTATCCTTGTAAAATATTTTATTATTATGACCATTTCATCCTTAGTTACAAGTTATCATTGTCCAAATCGTTTTATTTTCTTTAACAGTCTGCTACGTAATCAACCTGTACACACGCTTGTACCTTAATTACTCCTCATGTTTTCCTAAAGTATACATTTATCAATCCACGTGTTGTAACCATTTCTACCTTTTAATTGTGTGTATTTTTGTTAACAAACATATGGCCACTTTACTGGTACACTGTTGTGTATTGTAATAAAAATGCTATGGATATATATATTAGAGTAGAGCCAGAGTGAGATGAGGATCTAATTGAAAAGTAAATATTTTTCTCCACTCAGTCTCTTTCTATTTTTTTTTTTCACACAACTTCAACTTTGACCCTTTGTGTGTGAAGTTTATTTCTTATCGGTTGATAAATTTTGTCTACCTCGATGTGTCTATCTACTGATTGATGATTCATTGGAATACAAGGCAGACTTCTAAAAATTCTCTGGCCAGCATTCTTAATGTTGTTTCCTCTGTCTAATATTTGAACGTTGGTTGTCGCAGTCGAATTGATGTCCGTGGTTGTCTGTATGCAGTGAGGCGAAATGAGTGAGGGAGTGGATGTCATGTCTTTTGACGGCTAGCTTATGTTCGTGGATACGAAGATGAAGAGCAGGGACGTCCACTTTGGCCAATGTAGTGTTTTTCGCAGTTGATGCAGTTTATTTTGTAGATGCAGATGTTGGTTTTATCTTCTTTCGTTGTTGAGTCATTTAGTTGATACAGGGCTGGCTGAGTGAAGTGATTTTGATGGTTTGAAGAGTCTTGCAGTGATTTCTGAGATATCTTTTGTATATAGTAGGGCGATTTTGTTTGTGCTTTCCTTGGGGGCTTTTGGTTTGATAGGTTGGCTTGGGGATATATGTCTTTTGATGAAGTTCTGTGGATATCCATTCTTTTGGAAGACATCCATGAGATATCTTTCTTCAATTTACCTTAAGTTGGGAGTGCTGCAATGAGTCCTGACTGACTCTCTTCAATAGTGTTTGGATGCAATTCCTTTTGTGTGTTATTGGATTGTTGCTGTTGTAATTCAGTATTTGGTCTGTGTGAGTTGATTTTCTATGAGCTTGAGTTTCTAATTCCCCTGTGGTTGTTCGCTTGAGTAAGACGTCCAAAAATGGGATTTTGTTCTCGGATTCCTCTGCTCTTCTGAATTTGATGTCACTGAAGACATTGTTTATTAAGTTGTGAGTTTTATCTAACTCGTTTCTTTTGATTATTACAAATGTGTCGTTTACGTAACGTATCGAAATTTTGGGTTTGATCTTTGGTAGGATTACGTTTTTCAGCTTTTGCATCCCTGCTTCTGCAATCAAACCTGATATTGGCGATCCATCTCATGGTTGTTCCTTTGACTTGTTCATATATTTGGATGTTGAATTGGAAGTACGTTGTTAGGCATAGGTTTATGCATTCAAAAATACAACACACAAGCTGAATGGAATGCATGACATGACATCCACTCCCTCACTCATTTCGCCTCACTGCATACAGACAACCACGGACATCAATTCGACTGCGACAACCAACGTTCAAATATTAGACAGAGGAAACAACATTAAGAATGCTGGCCAGAGAATTTTTAGAAGTCTGCCTTGTATTCCAATGAATCATCAATCAGTAGATAGACACATCGAGGTAGACAAAATTTATCAACCGATACGAAAGAAACCTCACACACACACACTCAAAGGGTCAAACTTCAAGTCGAAGAAACAATACCAGTTCCAATACAAGTAACCGCCTAGAGGGTGTGAAAACACACAATGACAAGCAGTCACATCGAAGGTGGTCACCGACCAGGAGAGATGATTACTGGTGAACTCGTGGAGGAGAAATCTATATGCTGAAGGAAGATGTCGCCTTCCTGGTAGTAGGGCGATGAAAGCTTCGCAAATTAACCATCCAGCCAGCTAAGAGAACATAACACCACACCAAAATCATCCACCTGGGCTACAAATCTTCTCCATCATATCCTATATCCATGATTCCTATTAGCCTTCTTAATTACTTTATCGTAATATTAGCGGTAATCGAGTTACCATAGTAAATTAATTATATTACACAAAAAAACCTACCGATTATTATAATAATATTGTAAAGGCATAGGAAAATCAAGAAAATCGTTATTGTACAGGTTGCCCACTGTCTTCTGCGAGGTTGACGGTAAGCATCGAATCGACTATCGAATGTCCATCTTTTTGACTGACGTATTGATTTACCACGATTTTCAGCCGCAAGCATTTTTCGTAACATTTGTAATGGTGTCCTGAAATTGAAAGCATTATTTGTATATATATATATATTTTATTACTTCACGTTCCCCAGTGGAACATAGGGATTCAAGCTAGTGACTTGAAGTTTCTGTAGCAGTGTTTATTTTACAGGATGGGGTTGCTGGCTTAGCGAGGTAAAGGAGTGAGTCGGCCGGTGATCGAACCCTGAACCATGTGCATGGTCGGCGAGCGTCCTAACCGCTATGCCACCGACGCATCTGTGTATATACTCAGTCTTAAATTTTCATCTGAAACTGATAGATAAAAGAGATATTTTACAAGTTTTGTTTCACCAGTTTTTCATTGCTTTTTCCAAGATCTCTTTTGTTACAACTTCAGATATCTGTTATAGTGTTCATATAAAGACTTGAATTATTTGCACGTGATCTCTCTCGCTTGCTCAATACTATAGTATGATGGTGTTCGATGGTCCATCCTCCTCTGTGGCTATGAGCAAGACCTGGCTATTGAGAGTGGAAGACATGAACAGGTTGCCTAACTGTCTGGCTGTCTGGTTTCAACATAGAACTTGGCAACGAAGTGCAGCAGTTCGACTTGCCACTTTCCAAATAGCACACAAAGGTAGACAAGAAGATGAGTGGAGTGAATCAATAGAGTTTTGACAAGTATAAAAGTGAAACAGAATGAGTAATGGTAGAAAGGAATATGAAAGATTACACGAGAGACTGAATACATCTGCGTAAGCCATTGACAACAAGGATTTTGAGCCATGTCACCTATTGTCTTTCTCGAGCTATTGATTCTTAGAGTCCTGAGGGCGGGCCCCAACCCGGAAGTCTGCATCTCCCTCCCTACCTGACTGACTCAGTTGAACTGTCAACGATTTCATGGATTGATTGATGCCATGTTTTTGTTTGGCATGGCACCACTTACTCTTTTCCAACCTGCACCTATATCAGCTAGTAATGCCCATCGGGTCGTCGAGTTTATCAAAACTGCTTAATGGAACACGTTAGGGTTCTTAGGTGAAGATATTCTGGTTGGTGTAATGGTACAATTATGAACACTGAAGAGAACCCTTATACTTGCGTCTTTTTTTCTTCGTGTTGTTGTTGTTCATTTTCACAATCTACAATCTCGTACACGTGTTAAGTGCAATTTAAATATGACGTAGTGTTGATGTCATTCGAACAATTCCATATACATATATTATATGAAAACTCTTCAACAAAGCGTTTAATTTATTCCATATTAGTTTGTTTATTAGATGGATGTATCACCATACAGACAGTGAGTGAGTGAAACAGTATTAGTATTCACTGGATGACAAAGTTGTTTCGAACACAGTTCATCATTATTGCTGTTCATAATCATACGCATCACAAATTATTATGATCACACGACTTCGAAACTTGAGTTTTATAGTCTTCTTTGTTCTCTCCTATTTGTCGTCATTGGAGTAGTAGAATTTTCCAGATATCCGCCTGGACAGGAAGTAAGTAACTAAGGATAATCTTAGACAGGAAGTGATACATATAAGAGAAGCCTTGAAACTCAACAATTACCCTGATAAATTAGTCAGAGTGTATGTAAGGAAATGTTAAAGTTAAATAAATAATGATAGTACTGATAGTGATAATAATAGTAATCATGATAGCAATATTAATGACGATATGCAAGTCAAATAAGCGCAAGACAACACCAGCAATAAGGAATCTAAATCACCAGTAGTAATTCCATACAAAGAAGGAACCTCGAAAACCACCTTACGCAGAATTCTTAAGAAGGCGGGTAGGAATAAAAGTGGCTGGCATTCAAACATTCAAACCCAGACAAGCTTTGTCGGTTAGAGGACCAATGCTGTTGAACCTTTAGTTAAAAACAATTTGATTTATCTAATACCCTGTTTGCGATGATTGTCAGGTCAAATACATAGGTGAAAGTAGTGGAACAGGGTCAGTGAGTCAGACTAGCTGAACAGCATAAAAACCTAGCAGTGAAATCTAGATTAGTTGACCCGAATATGATAAGAAATCTAGAGAATAGTTCAGCAGCTATCGCAAGCACTACATGCAATTACATACACCCAACCATACAATAGGCTGGATGGGATAAGATGACGGTTTTGAAATCTAATACAACTAACAGG